TTTTTCATTTTTTTCATTTTTCTGATATTCTTCCTGGAAAGATCGCGATTTAATCTACGGGATCGCAAATTTTCAGTTTTTTTTTTTTGATTTTTTTGAGCGCGAAAAGTCACCAAAGTTGGCGCGTGAAAATTGCAGGACTGGACCCGCCTGGGCCCGCTGGTCGGTGCTTCCCCTAAAGACCCGCCTCGAACGCAACGGAATGCCATTTTTCGGTGTTGGGTAGAGTGGTGGTTTAAGAACACTGTACCCTCAAAAGCTATAAATTTCAGCCTCGATCGGACCAATTTAGTCGGTTTCAATTTCGTTCAAAAAAAAAAAAAAAAAGTCCATTTTGACGAAATCGCTGTTATAGGGCAGACAGATTGATTGATTGGTTGATTGATTGATTGATCGGCTTTGATGTGGATTTGAATACCAATCCTTGCACCAGGATTGGTATGGATGAATGTGACCTGGATAAGGACCGAATTCGGATGCAGGAGTTCTAATGTGAGTGTGCACTAATTGAGCATCATCAGCAGCGATCTGGAGCAGGGCCTGCGAAAGGGAGGAATTCAAAAAAGGCACAATTTTCTTTTTTGTCGACATTTGTGTAATTGTTGCGCGAATTTATTGAACAAGTTAATTCGGAGCAGCAGGGATGTCAGTCAATGTGGTGCTGACAAGAAATGGTGAACCTGTCCTATTTTGTCCCTGGGAAATGGTCCTTCACACGAAGGGAGGAGTATTTTTCCAGGTGGAGAGTGGAGGTGGTTTTCCCGGCAATAGGGGCTCTCATTATGGAAACGGAGTTGTATATATTACGAATCTGAGGGTCATTTTTGTGGCGAGGCCGCTAGGTAGCCTCTTCCAAAGCTTTCAACTGCCGCTGGTGAACATCAGCCAGGAGAAGTTGGGCTCGCGGTTCCTCTGGAGCAAGTATGTATCCGGCATGGTCCATCCGTGCGGACCTGGTTTATGCGGCCTGGGCGAATTCAAGCTCGTCTTCAAGGCAGGTGGTGCAGAGGAATTCTTCACTATCTTGAAAGAAGAGATGGAGAATACCACGATCCCACCGCCACCTACGATGGAAACGTTCTACACAAGTTCGCTTCTTACTCTACCTTGCACGGTGATGACTACTCTCTCTAGCAATAGCTATGGAGGCATATCAGACATGGATTCTGCCGAGCATCTTCGGGCCTACATAGATCCAAGCGATCCTAGCCGTGTGTTCCTGACCAAGCAACAGTAGTTCCGATGGCAAAGACTGGGACTAGTCCCTGTCCCATGGGAAAGACTGGGACCAGTTCTTGTCCCATGGGGAAGAAGGTTGAGACCAGTTCCTGTGCGTCCCATTGGAAAGACTGGCACGAGTTCCTGTCCCATGGAAAAGTTGGCACTGATTCTTGTCCCATGGGAAAGATTGGGACCGTTTCCTGTCCATCCCATGGGAAAGATTGGCATAAGTTCCCGTTAGATGGGGAAAAATTGGGACCAGTTCCCATGAAAAAGATTGGCACCAGTTCTTGTTCCATGGGGCCGATTGGGACCAGTTCACCAGTTCCGGTCCCACGGGGAAGATTGAGACCAGTTCCGTTCGGAAAATTTGGAACCGACTTCCTCTGTCCCAAGGAGAGGATTGGGACCAGTTCCCATGGGAAAGATAGGAACCAGTTCCTGCCCCATGGGAAAGATTGAGGGAATGTTTTTCTCTCCTGGTATCGTTCATGACCGGAGCAGGAGGGGGATGATGGATGGGATGCCTTGCTTCTCCTCTGCACATAGTTGGAGTAGTTGGAGATGAATAACAGACTACCACATAGATAAATAATACACAACCACGTTGGTGCGGAATGGTGGTGAACACTAGAGAATAATTGGACTTCGACTTTCTCAGTGACTGTTTGCTGTCCTCTGCCTGGGAGCAGAAGGGATGGGATGTTTCTACGTCTCCCACGTATGATAAGCTGCACATGCATCAGTGTGGCATGCTGGTGGGCACTGCTGGATGCTTGAGAGACGTGCCTTGCAACTCTCGTTCTCACCTCGTTTTTGGCGTCCTTCAGGCTGGGAGCAGGAGGGATGGGATGACTCGCCTCTTCTGAACATGATAAGATATGGAGAAATAAGGCGCAACGAAATGACATGTTGGTGGACACCATAGGATGCTTCCCAGGCATATCCTGCTGCTCATCTCTCTCTCTCTCTCTCTCTCTCTCTCTCTCTCTCTCTCTCTCTCTCTCTCTCTCTCTCTNCTCTCTCTCTCTCTCTCTCTCTCTCTCTCTCTCTCTCTCTCTGTGCATACCTCGTCTCCTGGGTAGCCAGTGCAAGTCTGTGATCAGTTTAATATCTGATCCTAAAAAAAAAAAAAAAAAAAGGGAGTCTCTCGACACTTGACTGTGAGTGTGCGGTGATGACCGTTCATGTGAGATGATGGACAAACGGATCTGCGGTCCATGTGAGATGGCAGACAAACGGATGTGAGCGTTTATGCGAGATGGGGGACAAATGTGAGAGCAGGTGGAGGACATCACGCATGTTGGAGGACATGGACGCGGCTGTATTGCTGGATGACAAGGCAATTTCCATCCCCGCAAGTCTCAAAGTCTGTCGGTGAGCCAAATGACAGCGTGCTTTCTTCCCACTGATTGTTGGAGCACACAGACGTTGCTGTACTGCTAGATGACGTGGCAATTTATGACATCTGTCACAGCTCGGTGTCGCAGGTTTATCTCCTCTCTCACGGCATCGCTGTGTTTCAATGATATCACCAAGCTCCAGACCAACCTCGTGCCATGTCCTCGTATTCGCTTCATGCTCTACTCGTACGCCCCAGTCATTTCCGCAGAGAAGGGCTGTGGAAACAACTGGCACGTATGAGGAGTGCATGAAGTGAATATGAGGACACGGCACGAGGTTGGTCTAGAACTCAGTGGTATCCACATTTACTACTACATTGAAATGCAACGATTCCGTGAGAGAGGAGATAACCTGCAACGCCAACTGGTTAAAGCTTGTGTAAGTAGGACGCTCGATGTCAAGCCAGTGGCGCCAAACACCATAAATTGCCTTGATATCTAGCAATACAGCAAGGTCCGTGTGCTCCTTCCAACAACCAATGGGAGCAAAACATGCTGTTGTAGGGCTCAACGACAGACGTTGAGACTCACGGAGACAGATACACCATGAATCCCGCGCTCGAGAAGAAGAGAACCAAGCTCGAAGCCAGTGCCTCCATCAACGGCATTGAACATTAAGAAAGAACCCCTGCAGACCTGTGCATTTATCTGTGCCAACTTTCGACTTCTTCTGTCCAAGCACAGGTCGACAATCTCCTTGCCAATTGTGTAAAGACTGCGAGCTAAGTTGTTCGCAGCATCCTCGTTCCCGCTGATGAGCTGCTATGGATGGAAGAGTTGCCTGTGCGTGCCAGCCCTCATCTCATCAATGACAGTTGACTCCGAGTCCGAAAAGACAGCTCGAGCCACATGCTTTCCTGCTCCCGTCTCACTGAGCAACGTGTCGAACGTGTCGTCGCCGAATCTGGTGTCTGATGGCCTCAACACTTGGCGTCTAGCCATCTGGAAGAATCCCATGCTCCAAGCAATACAATTTCCAGCTGGCATTCCCAGCCTGGATGCCAGCCTGGCCGATGTGAAGCAAAATACACTCCCTCATGGGGAAAAGCCGCCGACAAAAATCCTGTAACCTAAAACAGAACCCCGTCCAGAGCAAACACGAGAACTACCCGCCGAGTACAATGATGTACACATGTGTCTACGGAGCAATCTTTACTTGTCAATAGAAATTCGACAAGCGGCCTCGACTCTGATAGTCTTGAAGAAAGCGCAAGGGTGGGCGAACCACCCGAGGGCGAATACCAGATGAAGACCGAGCGAAAGACATGTTAGTAGCAAAAGAGCGAACTAGTCGCCCACAGAAAGGGTGACAATGAAAAAAAAGTTAAAAAAACTAAGATGGAGTGGAGTGTACAAGTACTGCAGCTACTGCTGGATCGAGATGACGTGATGAAGACAGCATGAGGTTCCACTGCACCGTCAAGCTACCGTGAGACAGCCGCCATACCACGTGAGGGAAGAAAAAAAAAGAAGTGGCGCATCCAGATTCGTATCACCAACATAAGAGCCGGACTGCGTACGAAAAATGCCTTGTTTTTGTTTATTCTGATTTTGGGAAGACTGAGCTTTCAGGGATGGAATGATTGGAATCGTGTTATGTCATCCGGTTGCTATGGTATTAGGCGTCAGCAAATGGTCGCGATTTGATGTCATAACGCTCTGCGGCATGATGGCTGTTGGTTGTTCGATTGGAGCAGCTCACATTGTGTGCACGTACCTGGTCAAACTGGTGATGTAAGTTCATTCAGTGTTGTTCATGTAATGACCCAAGCGTTGCTGAAGAGTTTACCGTGAGTGACGTTCTTGGTTGTTGGTGATGCGGCCAGCTTTTGAGATTACACATGTGCCATTCTATTGGAACAGCGAAGGCAAAACTACTACAACAAAAAGGCGCAATTCTATCCGTGTGCTGAGTGTTTGCCATCAGGGAGGTGGGTGATTTTCATTGCCTGCACTGGCACTGTTTTTTTTTCCATCTGGCAGTTTGGAGCATCGAGCTTCGTCGGGATCTGTCGTCCATCCGCTTAATGTCATTTGGCCTATCGAATCGTCGAATCATTGATAAGTATGATGGCGTATCTAATGTGGACAGATGGGCTCCAGTGCGCAAGACACAAGCAACCAATTATGGCCTATGGATGGGCATCATCAATGTGGATTTGTTACGCTGGCGTTGACGGTGGTGATGTATCGGAATGCGGGGTTCGCAGTTCTAGTGTGCTGGGAAGAGATCCGGAGGATTCGTTGTGAATTGTCATATTGAGGATTCTGGTCTAGAGATTGTAGATAATTCTCTTCGGATTGTTAAGACATTCGTCGACAATTGGATTTTTATTTATTTATTTTTTTTCCCTTAACGAGTTTGTAAAGATTCGTCAATAATTGTCGTCGGAGTTTTTATAGATTCGTCGATGAATTCTCGTTGGAGGTTTTGAAAGACAGAGGTGGTATTGTCATAAAGTATGCATGCTCCTCTGTAAAGTGCTCGATTCTGACAAACAGAAGAAAACAAAAGGGCAGAGGAGTTTGACATCAACTATGGGGTTCGGCTTCTTCGACAATCGTTATCGGAGATGGGAAATCCCAAGAATGGTTTGTGTAGTGGATGTCTGAGGAGCGGTTCGAGCGTGTGTGTTGTTACACTGTAAAAGTAGGGGAGGGAGATGAGTGGTGGTCCATCATTGAGGGTGTAAGCAATAGCTATATATAGATAATGTATAGTAATGAAATCCTGATGAGTCGGTGAAACTCGGACCCTGACGTTTGTTTTCCTCCTCCCTCTCTGCCTACAGTTTACTGGGCAGTTCGCTATGACAATTTTTATTTTTTTATTTTTTTTTATTTTTTTTTTTAACAAGTGCTCCAGTCTATTTGTGGGGAGCAGCACGTGCTGGGAACCGGACCCAGCGTCCCATATCGAATTATACAGATCATTGAGAACATTTGAGGTCGTTTGAGGTCATCTGAGATACCGGGGCCATTACCCGGCTTCGGCTGCGAACAATCTGTGAACACGATGAGATTCAGAAACATGGGGAGGATCCTGAGTATCTAATGACCTATTGGGGAGTTACTCATGCAATAACCTGCCACAGAGGTCCTACGACTCGCTATGACAATATATAAATGCGTATACACTATTATACAGCCTTTTATACAGCTTCCTGATCAGTCGGTGAAACGTCAAGGAAACAGTTTCACAGCCCACTGTTTCTTGTCCTTTTGTTCCTTTCTGCCTGCAGTCCATCACCCAGCTCTCTGTGGCTTTATGTATGGCGGTATATATACCTCTTCGCCCTCCCTGACTATCGCGGTTGGTTTTGTCCCGTTGTTTGGTCTAAGCAGGAAGCGGTGCTTCATGTGGGACCAGTCATCCGGGCTTTTTTATTGTTTTGGCATCCTGGTTGGTTGTTTCCCGTTGTTCGGCCTTTTGGAACGCGGGGCGGTGCTTGCATGTGGGAATCGTCATCCGGGATTGTTTTTTATACCGGTCCTCCGGGTTCTTTTTGATTTTTTTGCAGACAAGAATGTTTGACATCCTGGCTGGTCTTGTCCCGTCGTTTGGCCTGTGTGTGTTGGGTCGGTGCTTGCATGTGGGGCTTGTCATCTGGGATCTGTTTTGTTGCCCCCTGTTTTTTGTTATATTTGGCTGTTCCCTTTCTCTTTTCTTTGCCTCTTTGCCTTTTGGCTGTGTGCAAGTGGGTCGATATGACACACGGGGTTGGGGGCAGCCGCCGCTCAACCTACATCCACGTGGGCGGCCTTGTACGCAAGAGCTTCTCAACAGGGGGAGTTGTAAACGTAAGAAGATAAAAAATGACTCGATATCTTTTTTGTTTCCTTCTGTTTTTTTCGCTTTTGCGCTCTGATAACTTTGTGACGATATATATATATATATATATTTGAAACGGTATTTATATATATATATATGAAACGGTATTCACCAGTTCGCAGTAGCAAATGCAGATCCCAGGGCTCGATCCCTAGTTCCCCATCTCACCTGTGTACAGTATTGATGACAACCCGTAGATTTGAACCTGCGACCTGTCGAAACGCCAGTGGTAGGTAGATTGTCGTAGGTCACAGCTTAGAAGGGAATCAAACTGTAGACCTGTAGGGTAGGAGTCTAGACAGTTCCGAAGTCGTAGCTGTAGGATGTCTGAAGGGTCAAGGTCTGAGCTGCTACTTACCTGAAAGGGCAAAGTCGTAGCTGCTACAGTACCGAAAGGCCAAAGTAGAAGTTTCTAGAACTGGCCTTTCGGAGTCAGCCCCTGTTTAGGCCGAGGCAAGTGGGCAAGTGGTGTAAGGTCCACTACGTAGAGTCAGCAGTCCCAGGTAGCCCAGTCCGGTCCAGTCAAGCAAGTTCCGTCTGGGACTGTGCACATCGTGGGCCAAGGGGTACAAGGCAGACCAACGCCGCACAAAAGTATAAATCAAGAGGCTGCGTCCAGCCTTTCCTTCATTCCCGCGGATGCCATGCGGAAGCGCTGCCTCAGCAGCTTGTGCGAGGAGGTCTGCAGTGCGCCCGAAGACGAAGAGGGCAGTGAAGTGTAGTGTAGCGATAGGATAGTGGCAGCCATAGCTGCCATAGCTATAGTAGCGTGTGTGTGTGTGTGTGTGTSTGTGTGTTGCGTGTAGAGTGTTGWGTGTAGAGTGTTGCGTGTGGGACATCCAGGGTGATCCAGAGTGCRAACARTGAGTTGTGTGGGCGCTCAGTCGCCATAGCCMGTTTGAAGGGAACTCCTACCTGGTTAMGATATCTTTGAGTACTGTGTGGGCGCATGTCGCCAGTTTGCTGTTTCGCTGTTTGCATGCATGACAAGTGTGAAGAAGTCGAGTCTGATTGCACTGGTATCGGAGTAGGTACCCGCTGTCCCATGCGCGCGATGTGTGCGGGGCCGATCGGCCAAAGCTGAAGTGCCGCCAGAGGAGGCAGTCCGCCATAGCGGACCTCGAGGTGGAAGTAGACGCCTCGCACCCGCAACAAGAAGACTATGAGAGAGAGAGAGAGAGAGAGAGAGAGAGAGAAAGAGAGAGATGAGCGATCCAAGATTGGTTGTCGCTTACCTGTGAGCCGAGCGGTGGAGTCCGGTGGAGGAGGAAGATGGCGGCCATAGCCGCGGAGCATTGACATAGAGTGCCGGAGGAGAGCGAAAGGGAGGACAGAGGAGGGACTAAGGAGAGAGAAGAAGAAGTGTGGGAGGAGGAGGTTGGAGAAGAAGGCAGACATAGCCCAATAGATTCGCGCCAATGGAAGAGTGCAAGGGCACAATGGATGAGTTGGTAGTTGTTCCTGACCACAAGGTCACGGAAACCCAGTTGGTCAACCTTTTCTACCGGGCTATGCCCGAAACGCTGCGTGGTCACTTCTTTGACAAGAGTCAGGACCCTGCTATGACTTATGATATACTTAGCAGGGAAGTGGTCGCATTCGAGGCGAAGTCTGCGTCGATTTCCACCTTCTAGCACAAAGATTTAGACGAGGGCAAAAAGTGGAAGGGCCGCACTATCTCAGGGCAAGTCAAGACCAAGGATAGCCTTGTGCTCACTTTAGATGAGGGTAGTGTGGACGAGATCCCCTACGACCAGATTGAGTGGGGGTTCGAGGAGGAGGACAGTAGTGTGGGCCAGGGGAGGACTTACGTTGCTGTCGCGACTGGAGGGAAGCCGCAAGGAGGACGAGGCCAAGGCCAAGGGGGTCGGCCCTCAGGGAGCCGGTTCCAAGGCGATCAGGGGGTTGGCGGCAGAGGAGGGAACCGCCAAGCGGGAGGTAGGGGTCAAGGTCCCTCGCAAAACCGTCCTAGGAACCGGTCTCCCTATAGAGTAGGAGGATGGCACCCAGGGCTACCTCAGGGTAGGCCGTGGGAATCTTTGGGTCTGGACCAGGCTTTATGGCAACAACGATTGAACCGGGGCCAGTGCATTTTCTGCGGTGACCCGGGGCATATCATCAAATATTGTCCTAAGTATCGAGAGACCCGAACGGCTGCTCAAGAGCCAAAAGGCAGCCGCCGGTAGGGGTAGCAACTGCCCCTACCACTAGCCCATGTGGGGAAAATAGCGCTAGCCGGCAGGAGACTCCCACACCACATGTTCCTACGACAGAGGTTGCAGGCCGGTGTCTAGACAGCTGTCCCGAGACTGCTTGTGTTAGAGTTTCGCTAGACACCTCCCTCACAGGCGTGGCGGAAGAGTTGAAGGAGAGGAGGTCCGCCTGGGCCAAGATGAAGAAGGAGAATAAAGGGCAGGTGATTTTATTAGATGCAGAGATTTTTAGAAGTAGAGTAGGGGCCCTAGTAGACTCAGGGGCCACCCGCAGCTATATTAGTAAGCAAGCGCTGCAGAAGTTGAGGCTGGGACTTAAGGTCCAGAAACTGACAGACCCCATAGTTAGTATCCTCGCGGACAATCGTACCATGGTTGTAGAGGATTACGTAGAGGGAGTTCAGGCGTATTTCCGCCTAGAGAAAGATGGGAAGATGGAGAAGGCCCTCCACTCCCTGACTCTCCTCGTAGAGGACAGCCTCCCGTTTGATATAGTACTGGGAATGGATTGGGGAGAGGCAGCCGGGGCAACGCTCCATCTGAAGGAGCACGAGTTTAGACTCCCTATTTTTGCAGGCGAGGCTAAGACTGCCCGCCTGTTTCATGTGTTAGGAGTAGAGAATTCCTTGGCACATTGCTGCCTTAGTGCCCTTGCGTTCGCCAGATTGGTGAAGAAGGAGAAATTAGAGGAACAGGTTTTTGTTGCCTATGTTAGGCCCGTCACTGAGCCTCCGGAAGAGAAGCCGATGGACCCTGCGATTGCCAAGCTGCTGGAGGAGTTTAAGGATTTGACTGAGCCGCCGACAGGCATGGTGCCGCGGCCCATCCAACATCGTATCGAGATAGAGCCTGGCAGTAGAACTCCTAAGGGTGCTGTGTATAGGATGTCCCCGCGGGAGTTAGAGGAGCTTCGCAAGCAATTAGACGAGCTCCTCAAGAAGGGTTGGATTAGGCCCAGTTCGTCTCCTTTTGGAGCGCCTGTTCTCTTTGTTCCTAAGAAAGAGGGAGAGCTGAGAATGTGCATAGACTATAGGGGTCTGAATGCTATTACAGTAAAGAATGCTGAGCCACTGCCWAGGATMGACRATCTYTTAGATCGAGTGSARGGGGCHAAGTAYTTCTCTAAGATAGACTTAAAGTCCGGATATCATCAGATAGAGGTACAYCCTGATGATCAGTATAAGACAGCCTTCCGGACTAGGTACGGGCATTATGAGTTTATAGTGATGCCCTTTGGACTAACCAATGCGCCAGCAACTTTTCAGCGGTGTATGAATGATTTATTTAGGCCGTGGTTAGACAAATTCGTTGTAGTTTATCTAGATGACATCCTAGTGTTTAGCCGAACCCTCGAAGAGCATCGGGGTCATCTCAGGCAAGTCTTGGAGAAGCTGAGAGAAGCTAACTTCAAGATCAATGCAAAGAAGTGCGATTGGGCGAAGACCCAAGTTTTGTATCTAGGCCACGTCTTAGACGGAGACGGCGTTAAGCGTGAAGATAGCAAGATCGCAGCGATTAGAGATTGGCCCACGCCACGTACGCTGACAGAGTTGCGCTCGTTCCTGGGCTTAGCGAATTACTACAGGAAGTTCGTAAGGAACGTCTCCACCATCGTTGCGCCCCTTCGCAGATTGCTGAGAAAAGAGACAATCTGGAAGTGGGACAAGGACTGCATGTCCGATATGAAGAAGCTAAAGCAGGCGTTGATAGAGTATCCGGTCCTTAAGGTCGCCGATCCGTCCTTGCCTTTTGTTGTTACTACGGATGCTAGCCAGTACGACATAGGCACAGTGTTACAGCAAGACGATGGCAATGGCTATAGACCCGTAGAGTTCATGTCCGCTAGGATGCCTTCAGAGAAGGTTGCGGCATCTATCTATGAGAGGGAACTCTACGCTCTCAGGCAAGCATTAGACCACTGGAAGCACTACTTGCTTGGGAGGCACTTCAAAGTCTATTCGGACCATGAAACGTTACAGTGGTTAAAGACCCAGGCCAAGATGACACCTAAGCTTACTAGGTGGGCCGCAGAGATAGATCAGTACGACTTCGAGCTCAAGCATGTCAAAGGGAAGTACAACGTAGTCGCGGATGCTCTGAGTAGAAGAGCAGATTACTTTGGGGCAATAGTACATTACCTCGATATAGGAAAGGATCTGCAGCAGAAGGTTAGAGAAGCCTACGCGCAGGACCCTATTTATAGTGAGCTCCTCACGCGAGTCAAGGAGGCCCCAGAGACCGAGCCGAACTACCGCACTACTGGAGGGTTACTCTTCGAGAAGAGTAATGTCTTTGACCGATTGTGCATCCCCAATAGCGAAGAGATTTGTAGTCTGATTATGGGGGAATGTCACGACACAGAGGGTCATTTCGGTTGGCAAAAGACTTTGGCCAATCTGATGCGCACGTATACCTGGCCAGGGATGAAGAATGACTGCGTAGAGTATGTTCGCAGTTGCAAATTCTGCCAGCGTAATAAGAGTTCTACGCGCTCCCCACTAGGTGTTCTCAGACCCTTGCCCATTACGGATCAGCCGGGAGACTCAGTGTCAATAGATTTCATGGACACTCAAGTCAAGAGCAGGCATGGCAAGAGCCAAGTCATGGTCATAGTTGACCGCTTTAGCAAGTACGCAGTTTTTGTTCCTTTGCCTTCTGAGGCGCGTACTGATTTAGTCATACAGAGGTTCTTTGACTGTTAGGTTAGTGAGAACGGAATCCCGCTGTCTATAGTTAGCGATAGAGATAGTCGCTTTACTAGCCAGAACTGGCAAGAACTCATGGAAGTATACGAATCTAAGTTGTTGATGTCGTCCGGCCGCCATCCAGAGACTAACGGTCAGACAGGGCAAATGAACAAGATCCTACAGCAAGTTCTGCGCATGTATATTAGGCCAGATCAGATTCATTGGGATGAGATGTTGCCTAAAGTAGCTAGTGCGTACAATAACAGCGTGCATCTAGCCACTTGTCGCACTCCCAACGAACTGCACAAGTCCTTTAGACCGCGCAGACCGTTTGAGGGACTCAACCGGGATCAGATTCAGATATTGTCGCCCGGGACCCGGGAGTTCGCTGTACAACACGAGAAAGAACTAGCTATTGTTGTAGAAAACCTCAGGAAAGCCCAGCATAGGATGATAGAACAAGCAAACAAACATCGTCGCCCTTCACAGTTTCAAGTAGGCGA